CAGACGTGTGCTCTTCCGATCTCCCCAAAACCCCAAAACCCCAAAACCCCAAGAGAAGATTATTGAGAGATATAAAGTGAGTGATAATTACTAAATAAGACAACACAACCACTTTTAAAAAGAAAGTAATAATTAAAACATTCTAGAACAGAGATGGCGTACTTGATTGGAAAGGGTGGCTCACGAGTCAATCTGAAAAGAAAGTATCATTATCATTCAACTGAGGGACCCTAGCAAACTCTAGAGTCTTTGCCTACTTTTAAGATGAGTAATTTGCAGGGTAAGTCTCCTCGAAAATAGAGAGATTTAAGGTAGCAGTGAGAATCAAGATTCAAGGGCAATTAATTAGTCCAGGTCTCAGATATAAGAATAACTGATCTGGATTCACTTCTGAGAATTTGGATTAGTTAATTACTAGAAAATGCTTTAGAGAGAAAGGCTCAGCATATTGAGATAAGGCTATATGAAAAGGGGATTCAGGGCTTTGATATTATAGATGATGGAATAGGAATTAGTGAAAACGAGTTTAAATCAGATTATGTTAGATGCATGCCAAAGAGAGAAAGAAATGAGATCTACAAAACAAGGAGTATTGGCTATCGAGGAGAAGCTCTAGATTCTTTAAGCAGAGCTAGTGATTTCACAGTGATAACAAAGATAGATACTTTGGGCTACTTAAATGTTGCCTGATTCAATTAGTCAAGATAACTCGAAAGCTTAACCTAGTTGAATTCAATCTAAAAGATAAGCAGGCAAGGCACTCTAGTTTAAGTGCGAAATATTCATAAGCAGAATCAGCAATATCACTAAAAGTTCATTAAAAACAATATGCAGCAGTACAATTAGCTTGAGTCAATCCTTAAGTAATATGCAATGATACTGTACAATAAGGAGTTTAAGTTAACAAACTCACCTTTGGCACTTGACAATACCAGCGATAAAATTCTAGATAATATGTCCTTGTAAGTAAGCAATAAATTTCCTCAATTTACTAATTAATAGTATAGTTAAAACTATATTGCTCTCGGAGAGGCATTATAGTTTGGAGGAAAATCTAAGAGGGTTTCTTGACAAGTACTTCAAAAATCAGTATCCACATATTAACAAGGAACTCGACATTTATGAGGACTCACTGATAAATAATTCGATCAAAATTAAAACATATCTGACTAGACCTGGCTACTCTAAAAAGGGTGAGCTTAAGCAGTTTCATCTCTTTCTAAATGAAAGGCCAGTCGAGGGAACCAAAAGGCTAAAAGGAGTATTTCAGTAACTTTATAAAGATTTCATGATACCAGAGAAGACGATCCCATTTGTATTTGTTCATATTGAGACACATCATACCAATTACGACTTGAAATTAATGGCTGATTAAAGAAAGTTCTTTTTCAAACCTGAATCAGAAAAACTCATCTATGAAAAGCTAAGATCCTTTTTCCTATAAAAATTTAACTAGCTGTGTCCAAAGTACACCGATGAGCAAATTAAGTAATGCATTAAGCAATAAGGCATGTATGATGCAAAGTCAAATTATAGTTAGAGCTCAGATGAATAGCAAAATTCGGATCTTGATGAAAAGCAAATCTAAAATTAAAAAAGAAAAAAGAAGTCAATCAGAAAACTATAGTCAATGTACAAGCCCCAAATAGAAATGATGAATGAATTTCTCTGAAAAAATATGAATCCTAGCTAAATTCAGCCAAAGTATGGCGAAGAGCTAAAAACAAACGAGGAATTGAATGAAGTAATATAAGAGATTTAGGAATAGGAGGAGTTGTGGGATATTTATAAGACTGACTTCAGCTAGGATTCTACTCATAAGGTTAAACTGACTTAGAATCATTTAGCGAAATTTAAGAAATTTCAAAGCTGCCCAAATACCTAGAACGTAAAATAAAATGAGACTCAAGATTTATTAACAGAGACAGAAATTTCACAGGATTCAAGGTAAAATGAAAATACAGAAATACTTGTGCAAGAAAATGAATTAGAAGTTAAAAAGATAGTAGAAGGAGTTGAGTTACCTGAAGTTGAAAATTTATCACAACTGGCAACCACAGTTACTATTCCAGGTGAAACCAATAATGTTATAGCTATCTCTACAACTCGAAGTGAGACTACAATGACTTTTACAGCTAGGTCTTCAATATTATCATAACTAGATTAGGAGGAGCTTAATGAGCATTACAACATATACAAAAATGATAAAACTTTGCAGTTTGGCATAGAGCAAATGATCACTTATATCAACTATTAGAATTAAAAGGATACCCTCTAATTTGACTAGAATAACATAGCTTTATAGGAAAATTTCATTGATCTCGATCCTTAAGCTGAGTTGATAAAAAGAGTACAAAATAAAAAGAAGTATAGGCCTAGTTTCATATTAAGGCTTAATAGAAGGTACCAGCAGTTGATTAATGAAATGAATTATGACAAGTTCATGCATGACTTTAAAAACGACGATATGAAGAAGATATTTGAGAAGAGAGAGTTTAGAAAGCTAAAGACTATAGGCTAATTTAATGATGGTTTTATACTTTGCACTCTCAATAAAAATGACCTCTTTATTCTTGATTAGCATGCTTGTGATGAGCGGTATAATCTGGAAAGACTCACTGCCAAACTCAAAGTAGATTCATAGCCTTTGATGCAGCCCATCTTCACTGATTTAGCTTTGGGATCATATAATCTTGTCCAGAAGTATGAAAGGATATTTAACATTTATGGGTTCAAGTTTGAGAAGCTGGAGAGAGCTTCATTCCTAAGTATGAACTCTAAAGAGGAGCTAGTCTGTTTAAAGATAAGATCTCTCCCATAGAGCAATGACACTTAATTTGAGGAGTCAGACTTTCATAATCTGCTCACTGCTCTTAGAGGTTACGATTCAGATCCAGTTTTATAATAAAGGTACAAAACTGAGCAGCAACTAACTGAATTCGTTATTCCAAGAAAAATTCATGCTGTTTTAGCTCTTAGAGCCTGCAGATCCTCATTCATGATTGGTGATAAGCTTAATTCCTAGTAAATAAGAGACCTCATCGATCACTTGTATAAACTCAAAGAGCCCTGGATATGTGCACATGGCAGACCAACAATGAGATATATTATGAATATCGAAGACTTAAAATAAAGAATAAAGACTTCCATAATCTGCTAAAGATCACCTCCTAAACTACTTGAACTCGAAGTGGATGATGAGTGCTTCGAGACTTAGGACAACTATAATTGGTTAAATAGCTAGGCTTATTGGAATAATTATTGAAATTGAAGGTCTGCTGTCATAATTGGAATTGAATCCTAAATAATTTATCTGTAATAAGGAATTTATCATAATAAGTATTCATTTCAAGAAGAACTTCAAGAATTTCCGAATTTTAATTTGTTTAATTTAATAAATTTTATGCACACCAATAAGTATTAAATTTATAATGACGCAATTACTTTTTAACTGAGAATAAATGCCTAGACCGAAAGGAGGAGGAGGGGGTTACAACTTCAGCTATCAGAGATTTTCAAACGGCTTTAAGCCACTCTCGGCTGTTCAGCAGCGTATGCAGAGTAGGTATCAGCCTCAGATTAAGGAGAGAATGCGGAGAGAAGAGGAACCATCAGGCGTGTGAGAATACTTTGACAAACTGTTCAGTTCAGATTTGAAGCTCGAGAATTTGGACAACTAACTGAGGATATGGCTGAGCTAGCTGGTCGAAAACTCAATACATATGAATGCGAAAACGATTGAGATAAAGTTGATTCAAAAGGGCACTTTTGGCTTTGATGTGGTAGACGATGGGCTAGGCATTGACAAGTCTGAATTTGAAAACCTATGCTAATATGAATCCAAGAGGCAATACAATTAGATATATAAAACTAGAAGTCTTGGGTGGAGAGGAGAAGCTCTTCACTCTTTGTCTTAATGCAGTGAACTTAAGGTAATAACTAGAAAGGTCAGTCAAAAAACAGGTAAGCAAACTAATCTAACTAGTAATAATGCTTAATAGGCTTTGAAGTGACTTATGTTGATGGGAAGATGGTAAAAGTCATTGATTTTTCAAGAGAGTTTTAAGGAACTACTGTTTAAGTGAGAGCTATTCACAAGAATAACTCTTTAGTTCAAAAAAGCTATCAAAAGAATAAGGAGAATCACTATAACAATGCCAACTAATTGCTACTCCAATTCTCCCAAATACTCTTTGACACCTAGATGTCTTTATCAAATGAGTTCGTGGATCTAGGCTCTTGCTCTAAGTATAATAATTTTGACAATTTAATCTACTTTAGAACTTTGAAGGTCCTATGGGAGACAACAGCTCCTGGTAACTAGAGAGAAAATATCATAATGTACTTGAATTAGATTCACAACGGCACACCTTTCAAAATGACATCTCTCGATTTGATTGAATTCAGCACATTCATCCTAGATCACTAGGTCTAATTATACATGATAAGACCCTACACGGATGGCATTATAGTCAACTTGCATAAAAGACATCTGAACCAATACTTCAACTGCAAACCTTGTGAACTGCCTATGTCCTTTAAGTCTCTGTTTTATGAGATATACAACGAATACAAAGTAAAACCCACTTCACAGCCCTATGTGTTTGTTCACTTTCAGTGCAACATGGACATTGCCTATGAAATTGAAAATCAAATGGATATCAGAAGAATATCCTTCAACAATGAAACTATTATTGGTAAGATTTTGAACATAATTAATGCTATGTATTAGCTTAAGAGTTGAAATTAAAAGTGAAGGAATATCTCAGCCAAATAAACTCTAGTATGACTTTCACTCATAAGTCATCTACGCCGTAAAAGCCTAATGGACTTTAATCTCCACAGAAGTTGACGAAGTAAGCACAAAAACAGTCAACAGTTTAAGTTGTTGAACTAGAACCTGATTCTGGAAGCGAGTTGCAATAGATCTAAGACATATAAAAATAATAAGTGCCAAATAAGTAAATAGCCTAGAATAATTAAACTAAATCGAAATAAGTAATAATTTAGACTGCCATTCCCTTAGGGCAGGATGAGGTTATGAAAGATATCAATGATTCAGATAACGAAAATATTAAAGAAAAGACAAATGAAGATAAAATCATGAAAAACTCAAGTGATAGCCATCAATACATCCCATAAAATTCAATCTAGAAAGCATAAGTAGAACCCACTATTGAAGTTAAGCCATAGTATGCTTCTTTGTTTGAATTGCCAAAGGAGGTTAAAGAAGCAGAAAAGTCCTTGTTTGCTCCTAAGAATGCTACGTATGCTGAAATCTGTCATACTCTAAAGAAACCCGAAATAGATGAAAAAGATCTTAAAAAGAATGAACTGAAAAAGAATAAGACTTATGACTTGACTATGAAATTCGGGGCAAGTCTAGTTGTCAATGCCAACTTTAATGGAAACACTATAATATCTAAACCCATTAATAATACAGCTTCTACTTGCAGTAAAACAGCTACGCCATAATCATTGAATAACGAACCACCTAAAATATATGCTGATCTGTACTAAGATCCAATTGATAAAACACATGATTCAGATAAAGACGAGGAGATGCAGGATGATTAACAACCAAATAGCCAGAGAAGCAATATATATCGAGATCATAAAATTCAAGAACTTGAGAGCGAATATAATTATAAGATTACTATAATTAGTAGAAAGTCCCCTACAAAGGCTCAAGTAATTTAAGCAACAGAAAATGTAATAAAGCAGTAGTTAGAATAGAAAAATGATGATTAACTTTAATAATAGCAGTAATTAGAGTAGTAGGCAACTTCTACTAGTGAAATTGAATTGAGGGAATCAGTAGCATAGAATGTCAAACAAGAACTTAGTACCCCTGCGATTTAATAAACTTAGATGTTTTCTTAAGCAGTGTATCTGGATTTTGGTGGGGGAGTTATTAAACAGGAGTAAGTGTATATCCCAAACAGTATTTAACTTCCGTTTTATATTGTATCTGGTGCCATGAGTTGTAATTCCATCACTTTGGAGGAATCAGAGGATTTAATTACTCTTTGGGATTATGAAGATTTATTCACCTTTGCTCAAAGCTAGAAAAATAGCAATATTTATATTGTTAAGTCAAGGGACATTGATGTTGATAAAGGTATTAAATTAATCTGTGTTCTAAAAGCTAAACCGAAAACTCAAATCGATAAAGCTATGATTTACAGTAAAATGATTAGATAGCCACCAAATTTGATCTAGGACTGCAACATTGAAAATAGTGAGGACTGCTTAATGATTAATGAATGAACATAGAAGATAGTAGTAATAGAGATGTCTAATTAATTCTGTAAATAACCTGTTAACTGAAACTATAATGATTGGTGTATAAATTATGTAATTATACTTAATTTAATAAAAATGTTTACAAAGTTAACTCGATTTTCACTATCAAAGACATAATTCTTTCAAGTATTCAAATTTATTGAAATTAATATTCTTATCATAGAGTTCAAGAAGATTTCATGAATTAATAGGAGTTTATCACTTTCATGAGAAGATGGATCCTTCAATTAATGCAAGAGCAGATCCTGTTTAACCTTTAAAAGTATGTCTTCTCACACATCAAATGAAATCAATTGAATCATATAATTATTAGGGTCATAAACCTTTAGAAAGGAAAGATATAAGACCAAATTATAAGTCCACTTAGCTGGAGAGTGGTTTGTAGATCTTAACTGAAACTGCTAATTTCCCAAGTGCTATTCATATGGGTATGTTTAGATTGGAAAATCAATTAAAAATAGGTATTCTGATTGAATGTGGAGCAAGAGATGAAGACGTGCATACATCAGGTGTCCTTGCAGCATTAAAGAGCATTCAGTACAAGACTGCCAAGCACTCTAATGAAACCATGAACTATGGAAGAATCCAATTAAGTGGAGGAGATATTGTGATGGACTATGATATGGAGAGAATATATATTAAAGGATCATGTGTTGAGCACAATGCTTCAGATTAGCTTAAGATGATGATAGACATGGCTTTCGAGCCAAAGACAAAGGGGGCATGTGATGTTGCCAGAGTCCTTTATCAAAGAAATCATGAGTAGATACAATCTATGGTTAGTTAGGATCCTAGTATCTTAGCTAATGATGAACTAATGAAGACTGCTTATGGAGAATAAACCCTAGGAATGCCTCTCTAAGGCCTTTACTAAAATGCTCACAATATCAATGCTGAAACTATTAATGGGTAAGTTAAAGTTATGCTTAATCTCAGAACTGTATAGCTTCATTGATGAATAGATCTCGCCAGAAAGAGTATTGATTGTTGCTAATGGAGTTGAGAATCATGAAGATTTTGTAGATCTTGTGAGACTTCACTTAGGGGGCAATGGTCCAATTTAGAAATCCCCAAAGCCAAAGATTCCCAGCAAGTATCAGGGAGGATTCTATACTCATAAGATAAATGATTCCGAAACAATAAAGATAAATCTTGCATTTGAAACTGTTCCATGGCACAGCACAGAGATGCCAGCATTCTTCGTAATGAACACATTGATTGGTAATGCTTAGAGTTTCTCTTCAGGAGGTCCAGGTAAAGGCATGTATTGCAGAGCTATTACAAATATGATGCAGAAATATGAAATGATCATTGAAGCAGGAGCCATTAATAATCATTACGCTGACTCTGGCTTATTTGGCTTGAGTATCACTGGAAACTCAATTTAGTATGAGACTTTATTGAGGGTGATTTGTGAAGAAATGCAGAATCTCTCTAAGCCAATCTAAGACATAGAACTCCTTAGAGCTAAGAATATTCTTAAAATGAATGTACTGATGGCTATGGAAAGAAAAGAAGAGCGTCTTGAGGAAATTGCAAGAAATTACATGACATACGACGACCTAACATTTATGTAGTACCTTCCTAATATTGATAAAGTAACGAGTGATGATGTTAATAAAGCAGCACTTAGAATTATGAAGACAACACCTACTTTAGTGGCATTTGGAGGATACGCTGATAAGATAACTCCAAGGCTTTTAAGTAGGCATTTTTGATTCTAATGCAGATTTAAATAAAGTTTCAGACTAATTTTTAATTTTAATTAAAATGCTTTGTTATATATTAAAACTACTACATTGGAAAATTTAACCAAATAATTAATTATCCGGGGTTTTGGGGTTTTGGGG